CTTTTTTATTGAAATAAAAATAAAAAGTTTTCTTAAAAGAACTCAAATGGATAATACATTAATTATGTACATACAATATATGAAATTTAATTATAAATCTTAATTATTAATAATTGCTGTTAATTAATATTACATTTCGAAAATTTATAAATATTATCTGTTACTCAAAAAATTGCATTTATTTTGGGTTAAAATTGATGAGATATCGACTTAAGATATTAAAAATATGTCAATGGGTTAGTATCAAAATTGGGCTCCACTTCATGATATAATTTCCTGCATAACTGTTATTCAAGGTTTAAAGACATACATACACGTACAAAGTACTTGAACTTCATTCCAGCTACTTATTAAAAATATTTTAATGCTGTGAACAATACTTACTTAAATTTGTTAGAACTCCAATAACTCAGATAAACACATTCTAAATCAAACTAGTGTAAGTACATGTGTACACATACTACCAATATTGCGTCTGTAACATACTTCCCGCACTACTATACATGAATTCTTAAAAAAGGATTGATAAATTGATAGCATTACACGACCAAATCATGTAATTACCATTAGGTGTTAAATAACCATCATTCAAGTATTCTCAACAGAAAATTTGGTATAAATGATTTCTCAGAACACAGCAAACAGCAACTCTTCCTTACCTAATCGGATGTACCTCCTGAAAGTGTAGCAAGATTGTAAACATAAACATAGTTCATGAACTCACAAAAACACCTAAGGTCTATCAAAATTCCATCATCTTGGTAGCCGAATCCTATGACCTCCGAGAAACTTCTCGTGCAAGAAAACCGAATCAATTCGCTTTTTGTACCGTATTGCACCATTCTGTTAAAACTACATATCTACTGCTTCCATAAATTTAATTCTACCTAAAAACAAATTGGCAACAATTTGAGAATGTGTATGATATGTAAATACGAGACAAACACTAGAAACACTAATCGACGAGACTAGAAGGATAATCTTTTTATTATTACTAAATAACAGGCTATAAATGTATCCCGACATAAAAGATCTATTATGCGCCTAAAAGTCCAACTAATGCATTTTTAGACTATTCATAAATATCGTAATTGCTGGGGGCTTAATTTTACTAATTGATTTTCCACCAAGATCCCGGTTCTAAGGTAGTCAAATCTACGTCTTGCCGCACAGCACTGTTGTACTTCTTGAAAACAGTTGTATAAAACATTTTCTGATGTTTCCTTCTCCTCATGACAGAGTGGACAGATATCACTTTTTAACGCACCTGCATTCTTCATGTGGTAATTGACTCTACAGTGTCCTGTAAGAAGTTTAATATAGAGTTTAATATCGTTTCTGCTAACGTTAATGATAGCGTCAACTTTGATATGTTCAGGATCAATGAATCTTCTTGCTGTCTCATGTCTTTTTGGGCTCTCCATTGTTCAAGTATCTTTCGATGCTCCCGTTCACATACTAAGGTATTTATGAAGCTATTTGTTACCTCGTAGAAGGGTTTTGGACCAATAAATGGAGTACCATATATGCACCCTTCTTTGCTAGCGAGTTTGCTATTTCATTGCCCTCATGCCCTTCCTGTCCCGATACCCACATAAGAGTACCGCAGTTTCTCGATGCTAGTGTATTGAAAAGTTGAAAGCATTCCCAGAACAACTATGATCCGATAAACTTAGTGAAGCAGATGAATTATCATCTGCAGTAAAGAGTAGAACTTTTATTCAGACATTATCTTCAGATCTTCGCAATTATAAACATTGGTAAAGCTGATATAGTCTATCCACTACCTAACTATCTATCTATCCACAGTCTACTCCACTGGGGTCTCTAGTTTTTCACGTCAAGAATGTGGGTTATTTTTAGTCCATATGTCATTTGTGTATTGCGATAATTATTAAAATAATAAATTGATTGAAATATGTTTCTTGCCATTATTTCTGGATACAACTACATCAGATACAAATTTTTCAAATTGAAAAGTTTGGTTTTTATAAATAGATTCTTGTATTAAAAAAAAATTTTTCAGAACTTGTCCTCGGTAATTATTAAAAGTTTGTAAAAATGTTTTTAGTTGCCTGATTTTGAACCTAAAGATTAGGTTTAATAAGAAAAAAAAGAAATGAGTTCTCAGAAATCATATAACTATTTTGCAGTCCCCATACCAAGATTTCTTACTTTTCAACGCGTATTTCTTATTTCAACATCCTATAATCGACGTCTATCAATGTTCCGCCATCTCCAGAGATTTCACTGCCGAGGTATTCAAACCTGGCCACATCTGCAATATCGGTGCTGCTACTGCGCAGTACTGTGCTACTATTTGAATTTATTCTCATTGATTCGTCTTTTCACAGTTTATTACTAAGCCAACCTTCTTGGCCTCGTTTTCTAACAAAGTAAGTTGCTGTCGCATATCGCTATGACGGTTTGACAGTAAAACAACATCGTCCCAGATAATTATTTACCAAATTATTTAAAAATCTGCCTCGGATAAATCAATAAAAATATATAAAAGAAATAAAAAATAATAATAATTAAAAATATACATTAATGTTCATTTAAAATTTTATTTAGAATTGTGGAAATTATAAGAGTACAAAATTGAGCATTATAAACGTAAAGAAAAATAAAAATTATTTTTAATAAAAACTAAAATATTGAACTACAATAAAATATAAAATATTGTGAAGTAATTTTTATTGAAATTTAAAAAAAAAATAAAAGCTAATTTTAATTGACAGAGCAATAAGTTTTTACAAGCAAAATAATAATAGAAGTAATATAGAAAGTGTCCTGATTACTATAGCAAAGTCCTTTTCTTCATCAGTTTTCCAAAACGAAAATATCAAGTCGCCAACCTGACAAAATTATTCCATAGTTAACTAAAACAAAACATTTATCCCAAATCAAGAACCTTTAGCAATATATTTGAGTCCGAATCATAATGGAGAAGAAATAAGAGAAAAGTAAGAATGAGAATAAATTTTTGTAGGTTAATTAAGCGGGCACACGCCTTGCCAAATTTCACCGAATATATGATTTGGTGTTATTCTCATGGCCTTTTTATTAACTTTAACATTTCGTATGCAACCCTTGAAAGTCTTCTTAGTTTTCAGACCCGGTGCTTTATTGAATGCTTGATGACCACCCAGGAACAATGGACGATTAGTTTTTGTATTTATTGAGCCTTCAGTACCAACTCCTGGAGTATTATTGATATAATCGACAGCTATTGTGATGACGTATTTTGATTTGACTGCATTGACATTACGCCAATTGCCATCACAATAACTGCCATTATCTGGCAATGTATAATTCGTAAAAATAATGTTTTTACCGTCCGATTTAACAGTAAACCATAGAATATTATCCATTAACTCCAATATCATATATGCATTTCTACCATGCACAGAGAATATCAAACCGTCTGGCTCGCGTGGTCTAAAATCGAATTCGAAGTTAAAGTCTGAACCAACAGTAAAGCGTTCAAACAATTTGATGTAACCAGTTGGCTTGTTGAAGAAGAAACCATCTTCAACTTCATCTGAACATGGTACAACATGATGTGGCATTGGTTCTTTTTCCAAAGTTGCGCCATTGAACTTAATGTCACGCATGCAACCATTAAAGTGCGTAGTGTTAGCACTGCTTTCAATATTAAGATGTACACTTTCTTCTTGGAACTTAGGTACACCACCGAGATAGATTGGGAATTCAACCATCATTGCACGTTCATCAGCTTCCACCGAAGGTTCTTGTTCTACTTCATCTATTATAAGACTTAATTTGCGGTTTGTACGCACAAACTGGACTGTATGCCACTTGCCATCATTCAATTCTTGCTCACTGGATAAGTTAGCGAATTTTTGGCCAACGCGCAACTGATGGTAGATCTTACCGTCCAATAAATATACAGCAAAGTAATCATTATGCCGCTTGTCGCTTGCATAGAAGAGCAAACCATATGGATAGTCTGTACGGAATGTAATGCTAACATCATAATGTTTGCGTAATTTAGCGGGCAGTGTATGTATTTCAAGACGTTGTTCTCGTGTAGCGACAAATCTATAACCGGCTTCCGAGAAATCTTTATCGAAATTTGGATTAGTTGGCAGTTTACAACGTGGATCTTCTGGCATATTCTGATGAATTATTGGTTTTGGTTTACTTGTAACAGCTGGTTTCGGTATTATTTCGGCGAACTCTTCTGGTCTTTCCTCTGCTTTGATTGGGGGACTGGATGTAGTAGTTGTGGTCGTTGTTGTTGTGGTCGTTGTTGTAGTAGTAGTTGTTGTTGTTGTAGTTGCTGGTAAAACTGATGCTGTAGGTGTTGTAGCTTTTGTTGGCATAATAGTAGTGGGTGCTGGTTTAGTCCATTGAGTTGTAATTGGTGCAAGTGGAACTTTGGGTACAAGTTCATTTTCACCACGTGGGAAATATACTGGCACTTTTGATGTATCATAAGCTGAAAAAAATTTAAGAAATATTCACTGTTTTATATTTAAAATTATTATAAAATCACATACCCAAAATATCACTGGGGCAGTTATTAATATTGCCATTCTTTTTCTCAGTACTATCAGCAAAGTTTATTATTTCTCCATTTATTGTAACATCGCTTATGCAACCAACGAAATAGGCTGAAGTGGATAACGCACGTGGAGGTACTATGAAATTATCCGGTAGGCCACCAAAGAATATATCTCCATTATTGATCAATAATGGATTTGGTGTAATTGATGTGCTAAAATATACACAAATATATTTGAAATATAAATTCTATGAAATATAAAATATAATAAACATTTTAAAAATTTGAAATATAGAAATAAAATAATAAAATATAATATATATATATAACATCAACATATATATAAAGCAACACAAAATAAAATAAAAGAAATCCCACTTACCGTTTGTCTTCCACATCATCGATTGATAGCCTCAAATGATTTTCATCATGACGTACAGTAACCACATGTTCCTCTCCGTCATTTAGATTATTCATATCAGACATAAGTTCGGTACCCATACTATTCAATATTAACGCGCCATTATTCAAAGTCAACCCAATTGTAGAACTTTGATCATGATTGGCAGTATAGAATAGCACACCATCGCGTTGTCTTGTTTTAAATTTCAAATTAATATTGAAATTGTTTCGAGAAGTCACATTTGTTGTAGACAAATAACCATATTCATTCGGCGGGAAAGCTAAAGTTGTTGAATACTTAGGTGGACAACCCTGCTTCACGTCAACAGCATTTATATTTTGGCCCAAATCCACCTTAATGCCAGCAATGCTCACATCATCTATACAACCATCGAAGTTTTGTTCCACAATAGCGGAATGATTGCGTTTACCAGGATAACCTCCAAAGAACATACGTCTAATTGCCGGCATATTTTCTTCAGCTTCTGGAGGAGCTTCTTCCTGGGCAATTATAACATCGTCCACTTTCAATAAACCTCGACGTCCATCACGCTCGGCCACTACACGATGCCATTCATTATCATTGTAACGATCATTGCTACCAGTGGAAACCATATGTTCGCCCAACTTATACCGGAAGTACACACCACCATTAACTAATTCTATAGACATAAAGTGGTTGCCTCGCCCATAGAAGAACATAAGGCCATCTTTAGCATCCTTAGCTGCTTTAAAACTGAACTGTACGCTTGAACGAGATTTGAAATTATACTGTGTTGCTTTCAGTGACACAAATCCATTGCCGCTGAAACGATAACCAGTCGGTGGTATATCCTCGCTAACTAATTTATTGCGTTTATTTGCACCCAAATTATTATCCTCACCATAAACGAAGTTCCATAATCCAACATTTTCGTCACCTATGCGTAAATCTTCAATTTCTCCCACAAACGAACTGGAATGTATATCTTCCGGTGGCGTAAAATCTGCCGGCGGTGGATAGCCTCCAACAAACAAGCGACTATTGCGATCAACGTTAAAGACATTGTTAGGACCTAATAATTCACCTTCACTGGTGTGGTCTAACACAGTGCCATTAGCCAACTGTTCCCGTATTATCAGTTTAGCATTTGATCCAGTACGATCTACTACTACTTGATACCAATCGCCATCGGCAACATATTTATTATTCGTTATACGTTCGGGTCCGTTGCCTAAATCAATTGTTAGTATTGGATAACCATTGACAATTTCGATAGCCATAAAGTCGTTATTCTTTTTGGCAGGTGCCGTGCTAGCAGCTGTTTTGTTATCGTTACCCAAAAACATAAGGAAACCATTAGGATTGGTAGTATTGAAGTATGCTGATACTTTGGTTTTTGTAGCTAGAAGTGGTAATTTTTCTGGTGGTTGTATTTCCAGCACAGTACTTGGCACGAATTTGACGCCAACTTTAATGTCATTCGCTAAACGACGTGCGTGCTCAATTTGGCGTTTCAAGTTTTCAATATTTTCACCTAAGTCCTGTCCGATTCTTTCAACTTCAGCTTGCTGGTTACCAACCGTATCTACTAGCTCTTCCAATTTTGGTATAGCATTTTTAACACTTTCTAGTTGGCTCTTTGCTTGTGATATATCCTTTGTTGTCATATCAATATCTTTTGATATATTCTTAGCCTTTTCTAAAGCCATTGGTGTTTGCGTAACAACTGGTTTTAAAATATCTAGAACCTCCTTCATTATCTCCAAAGCGTCAGTTGCGTTTCTGTTGGAATTCTTCCAAATATCCCGTTGCAAATCAGTTGAAAGCGGTTCACGCGCAATATTAATGTCCTTCAAACGGTTTTCGGTGTTTTTATTCAATTCTGTAATATCATTAACCTTAGTGGCGGAAGCATTAAGCCTTGGTTCTAGGTCAGTTTGAACTTTTGATAATGAATCACGCGCTTTTTGTAGAAGTTCAGCAGAATCCTTATCGGCACGTCCAGCTCGATCGCCTATGCCTTCAGTGATTTCAGTTGCATTGCCTGCAGCAAACTTAGATGTTTTAGTTAAGTTCTGTGCGGACAACACTGCATCGACAATATTAGTGTACGCTGTTGCAGCCTTTATTGCTGGTTCTGCACTTGTTGTCATATCGGCATACTGTTGCGTAAGAGCCTGTGCCCTTACACTTAAGTCTGCAGCGTGTAATTCTGCTTCCTGTGTAGTATTGGAAGCTTCCATATGTTCCTTTTCCCTATCAGGCAACTCATTCTCAATATTAACGTTGATATCCTTTAAGTCCGTAAAAGCTTCATTTAAGTCACCTAATGATCTATCAATTGCCACTAATATGAGATCTCCATTTATGAGGAAGTTGCCAGCTTCTTCTATATTTTTGTCTGCTTCCTTCTGCTGATCTAGAACAGTATCGAACTTTGAATTTTCAAATGCAAGTTTGTTTTTCGCATTTTGTTTTTCGACTTCTCTAGATACATTTTGCGCCTGCAAACTCCATAAGTAGAGATCCTCTAATTTATCACTAAATTCACCAATATCATATTTTAATGAATCCAATGACTTATTTTGATTCTTAATAGGTAAGACAATTTGATCAATTTGACCAAATAGGTCCACAGATTTCGTTAACAGATTTTCATTTGGTACAAGATTTAATTTTGTTTCGTTAATGCGATTCAAAATGTTTTGGGCATTTTCCAGTGCCGCGTCAAGTTTTGTACTAGCAGCAGCTTCCAAATTGCTTGATAAGGCTTCTACTGCAGCAATAGCGCTCCTGGCTTCTTCGTTGTCTAATCTTGACCGTTCACGTAATGCAGTCACATTTGTGTACAGCACTCCAGATTTTATGCGACTGTCTAATGCATTTTCTGTATTGTGATTCACTTGTTTATTATATGCTTTTGCTTCAGATTCCAGTTCTGCAATTTTATTTCTAGCAGGTTCTAAGTTAACACTTTGTGGATCCAAGTTCTGTACATCAGGTGACAGTTTATCAGCTAAGTCGTTAAAGTAATTTAATTTCTGCGTGGTGAAGAATGCTAAAGCGACAGATTGGAATTCATCAAGTACTGGATCAATTTGATAACGTAAGCGATCGGTTACATCTAGAAGTGCATCGTGACATGAGTCACACTTTAAGCAACCTTCATCTTTAAGTAACACCCAACGGTGTGGACAACGATCACAACGATCTCCAATAACACCAGGCAAACATTCGCATTGCCCAGTAAATGGATTACAGCCAAAACCACGAGAATAGCCCTGATTACAGCGACATGGTGTGCAACCTTCTCTGGTATAGTTCCAATGATCCACAGCGCAGCGATCACATTGGCGACCTGTTACGCCAGGTTTACAGGAACATTTACCTGTATGATCATCACATTGCGTGTAATTGGAAGCAATACCACAATCACAAGCACGACATCCCATTCCCGAATCATAACCATAATGGTCAGCTTCACAGCGATCGCAACGTTCACCGATAACATGATTGTGACATTTGCAATCGCCAACAAACGGATCGCATTCCAAAGTGCCTAATTCCTCGCAATCACAACTCTGACAATTCTTCAATTTAATAGCGTCTCCGTAATAACCTGGAGCGCATAAATTGCAAGCTGTGCCTGATGTATTATTTAGACAACGCAAGCATTCTCCAGTGATAGTATCGCAGGAGCCGGGTTCGACAGGATTTATATTACCAGAGCACTCACAAGGCTTACAGTATTCACCTAACTGTTCTGGTAGACCATAAAAACCATTAGCACAAGACTCGCAGCGTGCACCTGTATAACCTGTTTTACACTCACAATGAATTTCATTACCGGATTCAGAAATTTCGCAACTAGTAGCAAAATTGTTTGCATCATAAGGCAAAGGACAAGCGCATATCATACAATCATGCGGACTTCCATTCGTTGCGTTGCCATAATAACCTTCAATACACAACTCACAATGATCACCCGTGGT